AGAGAGAGAGAGAGAGAGAGAGAGAGAGAGAGAGAGAGAGAGAGAGAGAGAAAAGGAGACGTAGGGACATAGACACATAGACTCACACTAAAAAAAAGCTCAATGAATCAACTATCAAATTAAATGACGACACAAGCACCCGCCTATGACTTACTTGTACAGCTTCACCCCAGACAGGAGAAAGCTCAATGAACAAAACTACCAGATGAGGACAGGAGAAAGATAAATTTAAAAAAACGTCCAAATGAGGACAGAAGAAAGATAAATGAACCAACTACCAAATGAGAACAGGACAAAGATAAATGAACCAACTACCAAATGAGGACAGTAGAAAGATAAATGAACCAACTACCAAATGAGGACAGGAGAAAGATAAAATGAGGACAGTAGAAAGATAAATTAACAAAACTACCAAATGAGGACAGGAGAAAGATAAATGAACAAAACTGCCAAATGAGGACAGGAGAAAGATAAATGAACCAACTACCAAATGAGGACAGGAGAAAGATAAATGAACCAACTACCAAATGAGGACAGTAGAAAGATAAATTAACCAAACTACCAAATGAGGACAGGAGAAAGATAAATTAACAAAACTACCAAATAAGGGCTGGAGACAGCTCAAAGAACGAAACTACCAAATGAGGACAGGAGAAAGCTCAATGAACAAAACTACCAAATAAGGACAAGGGAAAGATAAATGAACAAAACTACCAAAGGAAGACAGGAGAAAGCTCGATGAACAAAACTACCGAATAAGGACAAGAGAAAGCTCAATGAACAAAGCTAGCAAATGAGGACAAAATAAATAAACAAAACTTACCAAATGTGGACAAGATAAAAGAACAAAACTACCAAATAAGAACAGGAGAAAGTTTAATGAACAAAACTACCAAATGAGGACACAAGCACCCGCCTATGACTTACTTGTACAGCTTCACGCCTGACAGGAAGTTGTACTCCGGCACATATTTCCCCGTGCTGACGTACTCGGCCTTGACCGCCTCGGAGGGCCAATCGAAGTCCACGGTGACCCACTCGTACATGACCCTGCCTCGCGGCCACTTTTGGCTCCAGTCGAATCTGTCATCATCGTCAGAGCTGTCAGAGCTGTCAGAGCTGTCAGAGCTGTCAGAGCTGTCAGAGCTGTCAGAGCTGTCAGAGCTGTCAGAGCTGTCGTCGCGGCTACTGGACGACTTCCAATCGCTGTCTTCGCTACTGGACGACTTCCAATCGCTGTCATGGCTACTGGACGACTTCAAATCGCTGCCATTGCTGTCGTTGTCGTCGTCGTCTTGGCTACTGGAAGACGTCCCCTCCAGGCTGACGGAGCCCCAGACGTTGAGGAGAACGAGGAGGAGGAGGAAGAATAGGGAGGTTTTTGTTCTTCTGGCCATCTCTCAGTCTGTGGAGACGAGTGGGTTTTTGAAAGAAAAGATGGGTAAAGTGCATTGTAAAGTAAAGTAGAGTAAAGTTAAGTAAAGTAGAGTAAAGTAAAGTAGAGTAAAGTAAAGTTAAGTAAAGAAAATTGAAGTAAAGTAGAGTAAAGTAGAGTAAAGTAAAGTAAAGCAAAGTAGAGTAAAGTAAAGTAAAGTAAAGTAAAGTAGAGTAAAGTAAAGTAAAGCAAAGTAGAGTAAAATAAAGTAAAGTAGAGTAAAGTAAAGTAAAGTAGAGTAA